CTGCAATCATGCGATAACAGAAGCTCAAATTGTAGTAATTCTGAAGCAGAGAATATGTAATAGAATAGGGACGCGGGTGGCGCTGTGGGTTAAACCACAGAGCCTAGGACTTGCCGATCAGAAGGTCGGCGGTTCGAATCCCCGCAATGACGGGGTGAGCTCCCGTTGCTCGGTCCCTGCTCCTGCCAACCTAGCAGTTCGAAAGCACGTCAAAGTGCAAGTAGATAAATAGGTACCGCTCCGGCGGGAAGGTAAATGGCATTTCCGTGCGCTGCTCTGGTTCGCCAGAAGCGGCTTCGTCCTGCTGGCCACATGACCCGGAAGATGTACTCCAGCTCCCTCGGCCAGTAAAGCGAGGTGAGCACCGCAACCCCAGAGTCGAACCGCTGACCTTCTGATCGGCAAGTCCTAGGCTCTGTGGTTTAACCCACAGCGCCACCCTCATCCCTATATATATCTTAGCAGAACATTATTAGCCACGTAATGCCTGTTATTGTTTAAGTCTTCCCGAGTCAGGGCCTCTATTTAAAATAAATATTCCCTCTTCAGAGCGGGAGCCGCCTCTTTGCTGATCAGGGATGGCAGAACACCTGGCCCTCCAGACGTTGTTGGGAGTTGTAGCTTAGCAGCACCCGGTGGGCGCCGCTTGGGTATCTCTACCTTAGCTGAAGTCTTTCTTCTCCTTTTTAGCTCCGCTTAATATGTTGTATGGCCTTAGGAAAAAGTCACTTGGGACTGGAGGGGTCTCTCAACCTGCCCAGATCCCCTTTGGGGCACTGCCAGTAATGTAAATTATGATTCGTGCGCAAAATGCTTTCTAAAACATTAAAAAAGGAAATGCCAACCGACGTTTTGTACTAGGCCAAAGCGGACTTTTGTGCTGTGTCTGTTTTCATTTTTATCACTCCTTTCCAAATATTTTCCCTCCGCCACAACTAGAAGTTCTTTTCCTCCCCTTCATTGCTAGATTGGACTACAGTTCGATGGCCCAAAGAACGACATGTGTGTTTTTGTGTCTATAAAAGATACGCAGCGATTTGCTGATAATCGGTTCGTGATTTGGGGGGGAGTATGGACAGAGGTTTCTTTTATATGCTGTTTAAGTTGTGTTTCTCTTAACTGCCCCGGGACCTTTGGGTAAGAAATAATAAAATAATAATGGGCAGTATTCAATTCAGTTCTAACTCAGAGTAGTCCCACTGAAATGAGGGCATTGAAGTCAGTCAACAGGTCACCGACGGGACAGGGAACCGACGAATGTTCAAATCTGCCCTGGGCACAGATTTCCAAAATGATTCACGAAGGTTTGCTTTTGCAATTTTGCAAGGCTGTTCTCCGGCCGCATTTGATGCATACGGAGGCGAGGGGAAACTGCGTGTCAAAACATTAAGGGGAAATAACATAAGGAGGCATGATATCGGGGCAAGTTGTTTCACCAGGAATGTGTGCGTCGCATGCCCAAATGTGCCGTTATAGGAGGTAATCACAAGTTGTGAGCCCCACCTGCTCCCTAAAATATCACGTGTTTGCTCCTTTCGATATTGTTGTTATTTAGTCGTTTAGTCGTGTCCGCCTCTTCGTGACCCCCTGGACCAGAGCACGCCAGGCCCTCCTGTCTTCCACTGCCTCCCGCAGTTTGGTCAAACTCATGCTGGTCGCTTCGAGAACACTGTCCCACCATCTCGTCCTCCGTCGTCCCCTCTCCTTGTGCCCTCCATCTTTCCCAACATTCAGGGTCTTTTCCAGGGAGTCTTCTCTTCTCCTGAGGTGGCCAAAGTCTTGGAGCCTCAGCTTCAGGATCTGTCCTTCCAGTGAGCACTCAGGGCTGATTTCCTTCCGAATGGAGAGGTTTGATCTTCTTGCAGTCCATGGGACTCTCAAGAGTCTCCTCCAGCACCAGAATTCAAAAGCACCCATTCTTCGGCGATCAGCCTTCTTGATGGTCCAGCTCTCACTTCCATACATCACTACAGGGAAAACCATAGCTTGAACTATACGGGCCTTTTTTGGGCAAGGTGATGTCTCTGCTTTGTAAGATGCTTTTCTATATATAGGGTGCCTAGATTCTGCATGGACTGGTTGCATGGCAACATGGGCAAAATAACTTCAGATACCTATTAGGTCCATCAGTTGCCATGTAGCTTTTAGTAAAGGTAAAGGGACCCCTGACCATTAGGTCCAGTCGTGGCCGACTCTGGGGTTGCAGCGCTCATCTCGCTTTACTGACCGAGGGAGCCGGCGTACAGCTTCTGGGTCATGTGGCCAGCAGGACTAAGCCGCTTCTGGCGAACCAGAGCAGCGCACGGAAACGCCGTTTACCTTCCCGCCAGAGCGGTACCTATTTATCTCCTTGCACTTTGAGGTGCTTTCGAACTGCTAGGTTAGCAGGAGCAGGGACTAAGCAATGGGAGCTCACCCCGTTGCAGGGATTCGAACCGCCAACCTTCTGATCGGCAAGCCCTAGGCTCTGTGGTTTAACCCACAGCGCCATCCGCATCCCGATGTTGCTTTTATTCAACACCAAAAAACAGCGGCAATGTGTTCTTGACAAAGGACAGCTGGACATATAAAGGGCCCCATGACCTTCAGTAGCTGAGGGCCTCATCAAACCGAAATCCGGCTCTGGCCTGGGGTGGTTGGTTTGGGGGAGGTTCAGGATTTGACTCGGACTGGCCTCTGCCCACCACAGCTAAACAAAACACCAGATGACCGTCCCCTTTGTGGTTCGAAAGTGGTTTGTGTTGACCTAATCCCCTTTGCTGCTGAATCTGTGAATAAATTCGGCCGCCGGCGGATGACCGGGGCAGCGGAAAGGGGGCGATTTGGCGGCTCCGGAGCTCGTGGATGTGTGTGTGTCGCAGAATTTAGGTAAGAAAAGCGCCCCGGGTTCCTCTGCAAGCGTCCGGAAATTGCCCTCGTGTCTGCAAACACACACACACAAACACAGCGAGCTTTTTAGCTTTCTATTTCGTTGGGCAGAGGGAGACGAACACCTTTTGTTTGTTTTTCAAGTTCAATCTTTATCGGTTTAAAATCAACCTATACACACACACAAAGAAAACTTAGGTGAAGAAAACGAGAGAGGGGATGGGAAGGGAAAACACAACAAAAGGAAAACAGCACATCTCTTGCGAACAAAAAGAAAATAGAAGAGCACATCACAAATACACAAAAATATAATAGCCATCAACTTCCGAGTTCCTGGATACGGGTTTTTTGTTTCCTTAATTGCTTGCCTCTGTTTTTCGGAGGGAGAGAAATGTCTCAGGTGGCAGGTGCTTTGGGGGGCAAGCCCCACCACACCCCAGTTTTGTAGGTCAGAGTCCCTGGTCAGGACCACAGTTCCCAGAATTCCCTGGGAAAGAGGGGCTGGCTGTTAAACCAAGCTGGGGATAGGGGGATAACTTCAAACTCCAGTTCCCAGGAATGTCTACGGGAAACCGTGATTGTTTAAGGAATGGGTAGGCAAACTGAAAGGGACGCAGGTGGCGCTGTGGGTTAAACCACAGAGCCTAGGGCTGGCCGATCGGAAGGTGGGCGGTTCGAATCCCCGCAATGACGGGGTGAGCTCCCGTTGCTCGGTCCCTGCTCCTGCAAACCTAGCAGTTCGAAAGCACGTCAAAGTGCAAGTAGATCAATAGGTACCGCTCCGGCGGGAAGGTAAACGGCGTTTCCGTGCGCTGCTCTGGTTCGCCAGAAGCGGCTTAGTCCTGCTGGCCACATGACCCGGAAGCTGTACGCCGGCTCCCTCAGCCAATAAAGCGAGATGACCGCCACAATCCCAGAGTGGGCCCCGACTGGACCTAATGGTCACGGGTCTCTTTACCTTTACCTTTACCTTTACCTTTACCTGGGACTCTTTACCTTTACCTGGTTCGCCAGAAACGGCTTAGTCCTGCTGGCCACATGACCCGGAAGCTGTATGCCGGCTCCCTCGGCCAGTAAAACGAGATGAGCGCCGCAACTCCAGAGTTGGCCACGAAGGGACCTAACGGTCAGGGGTCCCTTTACCTGGTTTAGCTGCCCTCACCTGGATTAGCCGACCAGTCGAAGCCGTTCCCAGGTGTTGCCGCTGTCTCACGCTGACGGCTTCTGGGAGCCGCAGGTGAGAACTGAGTGAAGGTTGGGGGCCAAAGGTGGAGAAATTGACCCCAGAAGGAGCACAGCATGTCCCCCGCCAGAGGTACTGCCCCTCCCCTAACACCCTATATAAATGTGTGGGGCTGCCTTTGAAGGTGACCCGGAAACTGCAACTAATCCAGAATGTGGCAGCCAGACTGGGGACTGGGAGCGGCTGCCTAGACCTTATGGGACTCACAGTCATTTTGGACTCACAGCTGTCCATGGAGGCGCAGGTCACTTCTGTGTCCAGGGCAGCTCCATCTGGGATGCAGGATGAGACCCTCCCTGCCCGCAGACTATCTGGCCAGAGTGGTGCATGCTCTGGTTATCTCCTGCTTGGACTACTGCCATGCGCTCTACGTGGGGCTGCCTTTGAAGGTGACCCGGAAACTGCAACTAATCCAGAATGTGGCAGCCAGACTGGGAACTGGGAGCGACCGCCGAGACCACATAACACTGGTTCTGAAAGACCTACATTGGCTCCCAGGACGTTTCCGAGCACAATTCAAAGTGTTGGGGCTGACCTTGAAAGCCCTAAACGGCCCAGTAGATCTGAAGGAGCGTCTCCACCGCCATTGTCCAGCCCGGACACCGGGGTCCATCTCCCGAGGGCCTTCTGGCGGTTCCCTCCCTGCAAAAAGTGAAGCTACAGGGAACCAGGCAGAGGGCCTCCTTGGTGGTGGCGCCCTCCCGCCAGATGTCAAGGAAATAAACAACTACCTGACTTTTAGAAGACATCTGAAGGCAGCCGTGTTCAGGGAAGCTTTTAACGTCTGACGTTTTATTGTGCTTTTAATATTCTGTTGGGAGCCGCCCAGAGCAGCTGGGGCCGGATCGGCGGGGTATAAATAATAAATCATCATAATATTATTGTGATAATAATCACACAGCATTTCTGATGAGGCCCCTTTGCAGATTTCTTAGGAGGGCTTTCCACAGCCTGGCTGCAAAGAATCGTAATAAAAACTCGACCCATGTCAAAAACAGTGGTCTGTAATAAACAGCAACAAACCGCTGGCTTCAAAAGAACACAACTATAATGAAACCTCTGGAACGAGGACCACATGAGCTCATTTCTGGTTTTACTGCCTCTTCTCATTCTTCCCAAATTCCGTCCAATTTTAGCAGCCTAAACTAGCAAAGGCTACTGTGGAAGGCTTCCCAAAACCAACAACAATAAAATAAAATATTTTTGTATTTTTTTTTGAAAGAAAGAAAGCTCTCCTGATAATCTTCCAGCTCTGCCCGACTGGACGAGATTCCCCCGTTTCTCTTATTTCCCTCGGTCAAGACTTCGCTGTCCAAAAAGGTCCCTGAGCCAACAGGAGCGAGAGAAACAGCCTCCTATAAAGACCTGCTTTTTCCAACGCAGCTCCAGTTTCAAAGAGACCTGTGAGAAGGGACGACACCGGACCCCTGAGTCTCCTGTGTGTCTGAACCTGGGAGGAGGGGAAAAAAGAAGAAGAAAGAAAGTGTGCGAGGAATTCGAACCCGAGGCCGGAGAGATGGAGGGCCGGAAGGTGGAGATTTTCCTCTGCTTGGTGCTTTTCGGCTGCGTGGCGGCTCAAGGTAAATGCCTTTTTCCCCCTTCCAGTTTCCGGCCGTCGAATCGCAGGGCCACCCCGGAGGACATCTAGCCTGACCCCCCGCTTCGGAGCAGGAATGAGGTGACGAGGGGGGCAGAAAATAGGGGCTTAGATGTGTCCGGTTCACAGAGCCGCAGAGACGAAAAGCCCCTCCAAATCTGCCCCACTTTGAATCCTGGGGTAATTCCTATAATTGGGAAAATGGGATGGATTGACAAATGGAGATTTATTAAAATTTATATGGCAGGGTAAGAGGTCCCGTATTAAATATAATTTGACCGCCGACCTTTTGATCGGCAAGTCCGAGGCTCTGTGGTTTAACCCACAGCGCCACCCGCGTCCCCTATATAAATATATAAATTCATATAAATAAATATGTTACTTCCTGATAAAAGAGAAAGGGGGGGGGATTTAGTCTCCAGGATCTAAAATTATATTATGAGGCACCCCCCCCCAAAAAAAAATAGAAATGCGATCTAGGAAATTCCCTCTTTTATTTTATTTTTTTGGGGGGTGCACTCCTGCGGGGAGGGAGAAGAGTATATTTTTTGCGGAAACGTCTGTACATTTGGGTTACAGCCCATTCAATCCTACCTGTTGAAATCCGCAGGTTTCTGTTGGCTGTGTCTGTTCTTTCCGATGGGTCTACTCTGTGTAGGGCCAGCGCTCGATTTGGCTCCTTATAATGGGGGGGGGGGAATTCCTTGCGAAAATTTTATTTCCCCCTTGTGCAAAATTGCTTGCAGAAATTGTGTGTGACTTTTTTGGGGGTGTGTCGTGTGCGAATTTTGTGCGATTCGAGAAGGTGGGAGTCACACCTTCGTGGGGAGACAGAGCAAACTGAAGCTTAAGACCTGACTAGGGGGACAAATAATAATAATAATAATAATAATAATAATAATAATAATAATCTGCTCCCGACAGAATATTAAAAGCTCGATAGAACATCAGACGTTAAAAACTTCCTGAAACAAAACCAGAAAAGACTGGATTTGAAGCAGACTTTGAGGAGGAAAATTTCCTTACAAAAGGGGGCAGATAATTTTCGTGCCCTCCCCTCCGAACCCCAACAGCTACACCCAAAGATTCACCCAAAAAGCAGGGACCAAAATACTAAGGGAAGTGTTTGAATGCTGCGTCTGAGCTGTGAAATCACGGTCTCTCCCTGAAATTCACAGAAGCGAAGACTTTTCCTTTTTCTTTCAGAACTCTGCGGTCGTAAGCTGTGCTGAACTTTTTACATCCTACGCCCTTTTAAAATGTGTATTTTTGTGGGGGGGCGGGCTATTGGGTTGTTGTTTAATTCTTATTATGTATTTTTTGGGGTTTTTTTATATCTTGATTTTGTTCTGTGAACCTCCCTGAGGACCCCCCCCCCGGGTATAGGGCGGTATATAAATTTAATAAGTAATTATCTATCTATCTATCTGTCTGTCTATATCTATCTATCTATCTATCTATCTATCTATCTATCTATCTATCTATCTATCTATCTATCATCTGTCTATATCTATCTATCTATCTATCTATCTATCTATCTATCTATCATCTATCTATCATCTCTCTCTCTCTCTATCAATCATCTATCTATCTATCTATCTATCATCTATCTCTATATCTATCATCTATCTATCTATCTATCTATCTATCTATCTATCTATCTATCTATCTATCTATCTATATCTATCTATCATCTATCTATCTATCTATCTATCTATCTATCTATCTATCTATCATCTATCTATCATCTATCTATCTATCTATCTATCATCTATCTATCTATATCTATCTATCTATCTCTATCATCTATCTCTATCTTCTTTCTCTATCTATCTATCTATCTATCTATCATCTATCTATCTATCATCTATCTATCATCTATCTCTATCTCTCTATCAATCATCTATCTATCTATCATCTATCAACTATCTATCTATATCTATCTATCTATCTATCTATCTATCTATCTATCTATCTATCTATCTATCTATATCTATCTATCATCTATCTATCTATCATCTATCATCTATCTATCTATCTATCTATCTATCATCATCTATCTCTATCTCTCTATCTATCTCTCTATCATCTATCTCTATCTCTCTATCTATCTCTCTATCATCTATCTCTATCTCTCTATCTATCATCTATCTATCTATCTATCATCTATCTATCATCTATCTATCTATCTATCTATCATCTATCATCTATCTATCTATCTATCATCTATCTATCTATCTTATCTATCTATCTGTCATCTATCTATCTATCTATCTATCATCTATCTATCTATCATCTATCTATCTCTATCTATCATCTATTTATCTATGTAATTACACACACACACACGCATTGTGTTTAATTACTGTATAACCTGCCCTGGGACCTTAGGGCGAAGGGCAGGGAATTATCACAGAACTTCATCATACCATCGTTGAGTTTTGTCGCATTCAGGATTCGAACCTGCAACCTTGGCATTCACCGTGCCTTAACCCAGTGTTTCTCGGCCTTTTCGTGGCCCCCCTTCCAATCTCATTTCCTCCTCCCCCCCCCCCCGGTCCTACCAGCGGAAAGCTAGCTGTTTTGCTTGTAAATAGAAGCTTTACTGATAATTTTTATAGTTATATAATTTCGCCTGCGGCCCCTGTGGGATATCTGGGTGTCCGCGGGGGGCCATATAGCTGAGAAACACTGCTCTAACCAACAGACTAGATCCGAGTGCTAAAAGAGACCCAAGGTATCATTTATTCTAACCCCCTGCAGAATAATAATAATAATAATAATAATAATAATAATAATAATAATAATTGAATAAATTGCGCGTGGGGGGGAGTTTTCTGACTCCCCATAATACTGGGGTCATGTGATGAAATCCTCGGGCAATAGATTCATCCCAGACTGATGGAAGGACTTTGTGGATCGGCGGAACTCCTTGCCACTTGAAGTGGCGATGAGAGCCTTCAAGGCAGCCGGCTCTTTTTAAAAAAGGGGGTTTAAATCATAGAATAGAATAGTTGGAAGGCAGCGCGAGGATCATTTAGACCAATTCCCTGCAAAGCAGGGATCTCTTGCCCAAAGTGGGGCTGATTCGAATCCGCAACCCTGAGATTAAGAGTCTCACGCCCTCTACTTTGCAGGGAGGGGAAATGGGTCCGTTGGCATATTTGCTCCCGGCGCAAATCTCAGTCATGCAGAGAGCTTCAGATGGTGAGGTTTGCCTTCAAAGTTTAAATCGGTATTTCTGTTCCAATATCAGTGCAATTTCTCAGTCTGGTCAATGCTCAGTGCAGGAATTATTCTGAATTATTCCTTCCGTCTCCTCTGGGAATATAGAAGAGGAGAAGATCTTGATTTGCATCAGCAACTAGCCATAGCAATAAAACGCACTGAAACTGGAGGTAAAAAACTATAGAAAGCACATTTTTGGGGAGGCGTGTTTTGCATCTATAACCAAATAATAGATCTTCTTCTAATCGCCCCTGCTAAAAACCTTGCAGTTTTTGCTATGGCCTGATCATGTTGATCTGCTAAAAGGAAAGACCCAGTGCAGGATATATTTTCCACCTCTTTTTTCTAGCTTTCCAAAAACATGCAGTCGAAAACATCCTGGGGCAAAACAGAAAAAATGGGAGGAATTTAATATATACTACTGTTCTTTACTGCCGTCCCAGACCATCCCAGTGTCCTGATTTTCCAGGGACAATCCCACATTTATAGAAGTTTCTGATTTGATCCCAGTCAGATGGGTGGGGGAATAATAATAATAATAATAATAATAATAATAATAATAATAATAATAATAATAATAATATTTCCTCACATACAACTTCAATAGATGTCCACTAACTCAGATGTTAGGAGGTAGGGAGAAAAATTTTTCTCTGACCGTTAATAATAATAATAATAATAATAATAATTTATACCCCACCCATCTGGCTGGGTTTCCCCAGCCACTCTGGGCAGCTTACAGCACATACGAAAATTTGGCAAAGCTTCTGGGTTTTCAGTGTTTGAGAACCAAGGCGTTTGAGAACCAAGGCATTTCAGAACCAAGGCGTTTCAGAACCAAGGTATCACTGTACTCTTAAACAGGAACGGCGAAAACATACATAATCGTGGGTGCAAGCCTTGCAGTTCCACAGGTCTCTTTGAACAGGCTGTTGCACATTTTCCCAACAGATCCGCCGGCGAAGAACCAATCGCGCCCAGCCAAGGAACAGAAGAAGAGAGAGAGCGCCCGTTCCAGCTTCGACGCCGGCATGGTTGGTAGGTCATTTTGTCCTGGAAATACAGATTTATCTCTGAGGGTTTGGAGGGGAAGACCGGAGAAGATTTGGCAAGAAACAAACAGAACGTTCTGTCTCGCAGTTGCACCCGATTCCTCCTTAAGAGAGCCAGTGTGGTGTAGTGGTTAAGAGCGGTAGACTCCTAATCTGGGGAACCGGGTTCGCGTCTCCGCTCCTCCACCTGCAGCTGCTGGGTGACCTTGGGCCAGTCACACTTCTCTGAAGTCTCTCAGCCCCACTCACCTCACAGAGTGTTTGTTGCGGGGCAGGAAGGGAAAGGAGAATGTTAGCCGCTTTGAGACTCCTTAAAGGGAGTGAAAGGCGGGATATCAAATCCAAACTCCTCTTCTTCTTCTTCTTCTTCTTCTTCTTCTTCTTCTTCTTCTTCTTCTTCTTCTTCTTCTATGGGTAAAGGGACCCCTGACCATTAGGTCCAGTCGTGACCGACTCTGGGGTTGCAGCGCTCATCTCGCTTTATTGGCCGAGGGAGCCGGCGTACAGCTTCCGGGTCTTGTGAAAAGGACTAAGCTCCTGTCTTCCACTGCCTCCCGCAGTTTGGTCAAACTTATGCTGGTAGCTTCGAGAACACTGTCCCACCATCTTGTCCTCCGTCGTCCCCTTCTCCTTGTGCCCTCCATCTTTCCCAACATCAGGGTCTTTTCCAGGGAGTCTTCTCTTCTCCTAAGGTGGCCAAAGTCCACCTCAGCTTCAGGATCTGTCCTTCCAGTGAGCACTCAGGGCTGATTTCCTTCCGAATGGAGAGGTTGGATCTTCTTGCAGTCCATGGGACTCTCAAGAGTCTCCTCCAGCACCAGAATTCAAAAGCATCCATTCTTCGGCGATCAGCCTTCTTGATGGTCCAGCTCTCACTTCCATACATCACGACTGGGAAAACCATAGCTTTAACTATACGGACCTTTGTCGGCAAGGTGACGTCTCTACTTCTCAAGATGCTGTCTAGGTTTGTCATTGCTTTTCTCCCAAGAAGCAGGCGTCTTTTAATTTCGTGACTGCTGTCTCCATCTGCAGTGATCATGGAGCCCAAGAAAGTAAAACCTCTCACTGCCTCCATTTCTTCCCCTTCTATTTGCCAGGAGGTGATGGGACCAGTGGCCACGATCTTCGTTTTTTGATGTTGAGCTTCGGGCCATATTTGGCGCTCTCCTCTTTCACCCTCATTAAAAGGTTCTTTAATTCCGCCTCACCAGCGTCCCTAAATCCAGCACCGGGGGGGGGGGAGTGATGGAGGAGGCCCCCCAGGTCAGAAGTGGGGTCACCAGCCTCTGCTAAACCCCAGCTCTCCTTTGCAGGCGAGTGGACCTCATGGTTCAACGTGGACCACCCGGGAGGCGAAGGTGATTTTGAGACCCTGGAAGCCATCCGCTTCTACTATCCGGATCGCGTCTGCGCCCAGCCCTCCGCCATCCAAGCCCGGACCACCGAATGGGAGCTGCCGGAGGAAGTTGGGGAGGTGGTTCACTCCAGCCCCCAAGAAGGCTTCTGGTGCCTCAACCAGGAGCAGCCCGGGGGCAAGACCTGCTCCAACTACCACGTCCGGTTCCTCTGCCCCCCAGGTGAGAACGCTAAGGTGGCCAGCCCCTGTAGGCAGGACCGCTCACCTGTCAATCATGGTGACATCGCGGCGACATATTGCGATGGTCGCCAGGGCTTCAAGGCAGAAGGAATGTGTCGTGCTTAATGGCATCACCAGGCTCCTCTTCAGACCAGACCAGGTCTTCTTCTCCCGCCTTCCACTGAGCCCTGGAGACAGAGGTTAATTGGGAGAGGGAGGAGGGCAGACCAGACATCACCCCCTCCAACGTTTCTCCCCTGAAAAGAGGGACGTCCTATTCCATCCCCTCCAACGTTTCTCCCCTGAAAATAGGGACGTCCTATTCCATCCCCTCCAACGTTTCTCCCCTGAAAATAGGGACGTCCTATTCCATCCCCTCCAACGTTTCTCCCCTGAAAATAGGGACGTCCTATTCCATCCCCTCCAACGTTTCTCCCCTGAAAATAGGGACGTCCTATTCCATCCCCTCCAACGTTTCTCCCCTGAAAATAGGGACGTCCTATTCCATCCCCTCCAACGTTTCGCCCCTGAAAATAGGGACGTCCTATTCCACCCCCTCCAACGTTTCGCCCCTGAAAATAGGGACGTCCTATTCCATCCCCTCCAACGTTTCTCCCCTGAAAAGAGGGACGTCCTATTCCATCCCCTCCAACGTTTCTCCCCTGAAAATAGGGACGTCCTATTCCATCCCCTCCAATGTTTCTCCCCTGAAAATAGGGACGTCCTATTCCATCCCCTCCAACGTTTCTCCTGAGAATAGGGATGTCCCAAGGAAAAGTGGGGTCAAAATTCTGGGATCGCATCAGAAACTGGGACGGCTTCTGTAAATACTGGAAAATAGGGACACTCAGAGATTGTGAGACATCTCCAGAGAATGCATGCCATAATTTGCTGCTGGATCCCGCAGGGCTGACGCTTGCAGACGTCGTGCTCAGTTTCTTCATAATAAAAAATAAAAATTAAACACACTACCTGGGGAATCAAACCCTCCAACTTGAGACTCCAGGAAGGGTTTTTTTTGCCTGGGGATTGTTCTGACAGCCAGATAGAGAGACCTGGGCTGTATTAAGGATTCCCAACTCCCTATTAAAAAAAGCAATTGCATTTTGAAGATGTTTTCCCCACGCTAAATATCCTTTCCGCCTTCTTCTCTTCCCTCCTGGCCTCACGTCGCTTCGAAAGATCCCACAGATTGGTTGGGGTGGTCAGCGTGGTCTTCCTGGAGCTCCTGTTCACGGACGGCCTGCGGAACGAACGGCGTTCAAACCAGACACAGGAGCTGTTTGAACAGCTCTGCTCCGACCCTTGGTAGGCTGACCAAATGCCCGGGAAAATCTGCCGAGCGGCGTGCGTGCAGCAACGAACCTTGCCGAGGTAACGAGTGCGAATCCTGGGGTTGGGTACCGCTGGGCGGGGCTGCGTTTGTTGTGGGCGTTCTGCACCCAAAGGAGCTGCTCTGTTCCTGAGCTAGGCTCTTGCCCTATGTTTCATTCTCTTAACTCCTCGCCTTCGGCCCTTGCCTTTCCACCACACCCTCCAACGTTTCTCCCATGAAAATAGGGGCGTCCTATTCCATCCCCTCCAATGTTTCTCCCCTGAAAATAGGGGCGTCCTATTCCATCCCCTCCAATGTTTCCCCACTGAAAAGAGGGACGTCCTATTCCATCCCCTCCAACATTTCTCCCCTGAAAATAGGGACGTCCTATTCCATCCCCTCCAACGTTTCTCCCCTGAAAATAGGGACGTCCTATTCCATCCCCTGCAACGTTTCTCCCCTGAAAATAGGGACGTCCTATTCCATCCCCTCCAATGTTTCCCCACTGAAAAGAGGGACGTCCTATTCCATCCCCTCCAACGTTTCTCCCCTGAAAATAGGGACGTCCTATTCCATCCCCTCCAACGTTTCTCCCCTGAAAATAGGGACGTCCTATTCCATCCCCTGCAACGTTTCTCCCCTGAAAATAGGGACGTCCTATTCCATCCCCTCCAACATTTCTCCTCTGAAAATAGGGACGTCCTATTCCATCCTCTCCAACGTTTCTGCCTTAAAAATAGGGACGTCCTATTCCATCCCCTCCAAGGTTTCTCCCCTGAAAATAGGGACGTCCTATTCCATCCTTTCCAACGTTTCTCCTGTGGAAATAGGGACGTCCTATTCCATCCCCTCCAACGTTTCTCCCCTGAAAATAGGGACGTCCTATTCCATCCCCTCCAACGTTTCTCCCCTGAAAATAGGGACGTCCTATTCCATCCCCTCCAACGTTTCTCCCCTGAAAATAGGGACGTCCTATTCCATCCCCTCCAACGTTTCTCCCCTGAAAATAGGGACGTCCTATTCCATCCTCTCCAACGTTTCTCCCCTGAAAATAGGGACGTCCTATTCCATCCCCTCCAACGTTTCTCCCCTGAAAATAGGGACGTCCTATTCCATCCTTTCCAACGTTTCTCCTGTGGAAATAGGGACGTCCTATTCCATCCCCTCCAACGTTTCTCCCCTGAAAATAGGGACGTCCTATTCCATCCCCTCCAACGTTTCTCCCCTGAAAATAGGGACGTCCTATTCCATCCCCTCCAACGTTTCTCCCCTGAAAATAGGGACGTCCTATTCCATCCCCTCCAACGTTTCTCCCCTGAAAATAGGGACGTCCTATTCCATCCTCTCCAACGTTTCTCCCCTGAAAATAGGGACGTCCTATTCCATCCCCTCCAACGTTTCTCCCCTGAAAATAGGGACGTCCTATTCCATCCCCTCCAACATTTCTCCTCTGAAAATAGGGACGTCCTATTCCATCCTCTCCAACGTTTCTGCCTTAAAAATAGGGACGTCCTATTCCATCCCCTCCAACGTTTCTCCCCTGAAAATAGGGACGTCCTATTCCATCCCCTCCAACGTTTCTCCCCTGAAAATAGGGACGTCCTATTCCATCCCCTCCAACGTTTCTCCTGTGAAAAGAGGGACGTCCTATTTCATCCCCTCCAACGTTTCTCCTGTGAAAATAGGGACGTCCTATTCCATCCCCTCCAACGTTTCTCCCCTGAAAATAGGGACGTCCTATTCCATCCCCTCCAAGGTTTCTCCCCTGAAAATAGGGACGTCCTATTCCATCCTTTCCAACGTTTCTCCTGTGGAAATAGGGACGTCCTATTCCATCCCTTCCAACGTTTCTCCCCTGAAAATAGGGACGTCCTATTCCATCCCCTCCAACGTTTCTCCAGTGAAAATAGGGACGTCCTAAGGAAATTTGGGACCAAGTCAGAAACCAGGACGGCTTCTGTCAATCCAGGGAAATAGGGACACTCAGATGTTCTGCGCCACCTCCTTTTGGAATTTGCAAAAGTCGAAGGAACAGGCGAGGCAATTGTTTGGGAAACGGAGACATAGGTCTGTCCGTCCCCCTCTTCCCAATGGGGTCAGCCCATCACCAAAGAAAAATTTCAGGAATGCTGTAGTTGGTCTCCAAAAGGGCCTCTAAAGGCCTGTTGTTGTTTTTTATAGACAAGTTATTTTTTTAATGAACCTCACTCCCGCCGACCTGAGATGCTGGCCAAGTACTTTCTCAGTTGTGCTTTGAACATTCTTGCTGAGACGGGAGAGTCATCCAATCTCCGCTTTCTCCTTGTTTTGCCTGGAAAAAGGAGGGCAGTCTCTACAAATACTCTTTTTCTCTCGGTTTCTCGCTGAGGGCTGGCAAACCCTCTGCAATTCTTCCCTCTCAAGCTCTTCCAAAACGGCAGCCGAGTGTTTTCCCCCGAGGTTTCGCGATGGAAATAGCAGAGGCGCGAGACGGGTCTGTGCCATGCGCCGTGGCAGGAGAGCAGGAATTTAAAAGCTTGAAGGGGGTCCTCTGTCCTGGGGAGTCATCCAGTCTGACCCACTGCAATATCAGCTAAATAATCCCCAGCAGAACCAGCTGATGTCTTGGGCAATTGGCAGAGACCTGGACCAAAGGCTTTGGGCCTGATTCTGACCGCAGGCCAGAGATTTCCGCCCCCCTCTTCTCTGCATACATGATACTCCCCCCCCCCAGTGGGGTAGTTTGGCCGGTTCCAGATTTACATATAAGCTAAACAAGCATCTTACAAAGCAGATACATCACCTTGCCAACAAAGGTCCGTATAGTTCAAGCTCTGGTTTTCCCAGTAGTGATGTATGGAAGTGAGAGCTGGACCCTAAAGAAGGCTGATCGCCGAAGAATGGATGCTTTTGAATTCTGGTGCTGGAGGAGACTCTTGAGAGTCCCATGGACTGCAAGAAGATCCAACCTCTCCATTCGGAAGGAAATCAGCTCTGAGTGCTCACTGGAAGGACAGATCCTGAAGCTGAGGCTCCAAGACTTTGGCCACCTCAGGAGAAGAGAAGACTCCCTGGAAAAGACCCTGATGTTGGGAAAGATGGAGGGCACAAGGAGAAGGGGACGACGGAGGACGAGATGGTGGGACAGTGTTCTCCAAGCGACCAGCATGAGTTTGACCAAACTGGGGGAGGCAGTGGAACTATACGGACCTTTGTTGGCAAGGTGATGTCTCTGCTTTTTAGCGTACCTCTTTTTTTGTGCAGACGTGAGTTCTAATCCTGCGTCTTCCGCCCCCACAGAGCCCCATTGGAGCAGTTGGGGGGCCTGGAGCCCCTGCTCAAAGACCTGCGGCGGCGGAGGGAAGAGGGTCCGCCGGCGGAGCTGCCCAAAGTCCAAGCTCATCCGCTGCCCCGGCCGTCCCTCGGAGGTGCAGAAATGTTCGCTGTCACCCTGTCCAGGTACCAAACCTCTCTCTCTGCTCCTCTGGCAAAGTTTCTCTGCACCTGTCAGGTATCCCCATCCTAGCACCTGCCCTTATCCTCTCCCTCTGCTTTTCCCTCCCTCCCTCCCTTCCACCCACCCATCATCCCCCCTCCGTTTCTTTACCATCACTTACCTACCTAATTACATTACATACACCATCGCTTCCTTCAGATCTTTGGTGACTGGCCTCCTTCCATCCACCATCACTTACTTACTTCTGCCATCACTGGCCTCCTTTCGTCCATCACTTATTTTCTCTTTCTTTCTTTCTTTCTTTCTTTCTTTCTTTCTTTCTTTCTTCTGCCATCACTTCCCTCCCTCCTTCCTTCCATCCATCGCTTATTTACTTACATTTGCCATCACTTGCCTCCTTCCATCACTTATTTTCTTTCTTTCTTTCTCTCTCTCTCTTTCTTTCTTTCTTTCTTTCTTTCTTTCTTTCTTTCTTTCTCTTTCTTTCATTTTTCTGCCATAACTTCCCTCCCTCCTTCTATCCGTCACTTATTTACTTACTTTTGCCATCACTTGCCTCCTTCCATTACTTTTTATTTTTTTTCTTTTCTTTTTCTCTTTTTCTCTTTCTTTCTTTCTTTCTTTCTTTCTTTCTTTCTTTCTTTCTTCTGCCATCACTTGCCTCCTTCCATCCATCACTTATTTACTTACTTTTGCCATCACTTACCTCCTTCCATTACTTATTTTCTATCTTTATTTCTTCTGCCATCACTTGCTCTCACCGGTGGCCAAATCTGATGTCCCCAAAGCACGACATTGCCCTCCCGCTGCAAGCGAATGAGGCGATGACAAGGCTTTCAAGTTTCCTCCTAACTCTACAATTCTCCGGCTCTGTGTTTCCAGCTTGCCAGCTCAGCTGTGATGTGGGCGTCCCCAGCAAGGACTGTACCAGCTGCACCTGCCCCAATCACACTGTCCTGGGCACCGTACGGAGCGCAAAGGGAGTGGTCCTCGCCGGCGCCCAGATCTTTCTCCAGGACCGGCCCCTGGCCCTACTGGCCAAGAGCAACTGGCGCGGCCAATTCACCGTCCGAGGCATCTGCGCCGGGAGTGGGGTCAACGTCAGCGCAAAGCTCGAGAGGTTTGCCCAAGGCAGCAGCCCGGCGATCGCCAACAGCTCTCGGACATCTGTGGTGGACCTAGTGCTCCATCGACTAGGTAACAGGGCAGACTCCAATTCTTTAGCTGCATTGAGATAATCTTCATCATCATCATTCTCTATTACGGTCCAAAGACCCAACAAATCGTTGCAAAGCAATGCACAATTCAGACAGCCTACCTCCAGGTTAGGGACGTGGGTGGCGCTGTGGGTTAAACCACAGAGCCTAGGACTTGCCGATCAGAAGGTCGGCGGTTCGAATCCCCGCAATGACGGGGTGAGCTCCCGTTGCTCGGTCCCTGCTCCTGCCAACCTAGCAGTTCGAAAGCACGTCAAAGTGCAAGTAGATCAATAGGTACCGCTCTGGCGGGAAGGTAAACGGCGTTTCCGTGCGCTGCTCTGGTTCGCCAGAAGCGGTTTAGTCCTGCTGGCCACATGACCCGGAAGCTGTACGCCGGCTCCCTCGGCCAATAAAGCGAGATGAGCGCCGCAACCCCAGAGTCGGCCACGACTGGACCTAATGGTCAGGGGTCCCTTTACCTTTACTTTACCTCCAGGTTAAACAAGCATTTTGTTCAGACTTAAAGATAGGGATCATTGGTTCTTGCAACCACTGATAAAAACTTGGCCACTGCTAATGTTCTAGCGTTTGCCCGGTCTTCCAATAGGAACCTGACATAGTGAGCCTCTGATTTTCCCGGGAAAGGGACCAGCGAGGGTAATATCAGTTCAGCCCTGGCTTGCTCGTATTTTGCACAGTGCAACAAAATATGTTTTATGGAATCGATGTCTTGAGCGCACGAGCCAAGTCTGTCCTGGTAGGGAACTCCTCTCAACGCTGCAGAAGGAAAGACGTTTAGTCTGGCTTTGGTGAAAAGCCTTCGATAGTTTGGTACTGTCAGGTTTTTAATGTAAGATGTTAACTTAAAGATATGCCCATATTGTACTCCTACTGCCAGCAGACTACAGACTGCGTGTGATCGAGATCGCAAGTCACTTTGTGCATTAGCCCATAATCTTTGCTTTAACATCTTTAGGGCGCCTTCATAACCCAGGTAATACAGTTGGTAATAATAATAATTTATTTATACCCCGCCTATCTGGTTTCCACAGCTACTCTAGGCGGCTCCCAACAGAATAGTAAAAACACGATAAAACGTCAAACAGTAAAAGCTTCCTAAGAAATCTGCAATGGGGCCTCATTGGAAATACTGTGTGATTATTATCATAATAATATTATAATAATTTATTATTTATAGCCCGCCAATCCAGCCGGGTTTCCCCAGCCGCTCTGGGCAGCTCCCAACAGAATACTAAAAACACGATAAAACACCAAACGTTAAAAGCTTCCCTAAACAGGGCTGCCTTCAGATGTCTTCCAAAAGTCAGATAGTTGCTTATTTCATTGACATCTGACGGGAGGGCGTTCCACAGGGCAGGCGCCACCACTGAGAAGGCCCTGTGCCTGGTTTCCTGTAACCTCGCTTCTCGCAGGGGGGGGACCGCCAGAAGGCCCTTGGGAGCTGAACCCTGATGTCCGGGGTGGACGATGGGGGTGGAGACTCTCCTTTAGGCCTACTGTGCCATTTAGGGCTTTCAAGGTCAGCACTAACACTTTGAATTGTGCTCAGAAACATACTGGGAGCCAATGTCGGTCTTTTAGGACCGGTGTTATGTGGTCTCGGCGGCCACTCCCAGTCCCCAGTCTGGCTGGCGCATTCTGGATTAGTTGCAGTTTCCGGGTCACCTTCAAAGGAGCGCCTTTTTTAAAAAGACAGGTCATTTATTTATTTATCCTGATTTTATACTACTTCTCTCTCTCACCCCACCCCCGCACCCCTCCCCCGGTCCATTCCCGGCAGAAAAACCTTACATGGTGTCCCATCCGGAAGAGAAAGTGAGGACAGTTGGACAAAGCGTACGGTTTTGCTGCAGAGCGCAGGGTATTCCGGAGCCAATGAAGTATTACTGGTGAGTGGCTGGGATCGGGGCCCGTTGCTGGAGAAGGAGGAGGAGGGGCTCCTTTCAAAAACACACACTCTCTCTCTCTAATATCAAACAATTTATACACCGCTTAGCTCCAATAGCCTCTGCGCTGCTTACAAAAGTTGTTGTTGTTTAGTGGTGTCCGCCTCTTCGTGACCCCCTGGACCAGAACATGCCAGGCCCTCCTGTCTTCCACTGCCTCCCCCAGTTTGGTCAAACTCATGCTGGCAGCTTCGAGAACACTGTCCAATCATCTCGTCCTCCGTCGTCCCCTTCTCCTTGCGCCCTCCATCTTTCCCAACATCAGGGTCTTTTCCAGGGAGTCTTCTCTTCTCCTGAGGTGGCCAAAGTCTTGGAGCCTCAGCTTCAGGATCTGTGCTTCCAGTGAGCGCTCAGGGCTGATTTCATTGCACAAAAAGAGATGAATTGAGTTAAAACGATGAAATCAAGCATCAATTAGAATTCCTGCTGGAATAAAAAAAAAAGTATTCGGGCAGAAGTTCAACAGGGAGAGGGGGCCTGTTCTGATTGGGCGGCTCTAGTGAATGATAAAATAATAATAATTTATTATTTATAACCCGCCCATCTGACTGGGTTTCCCCAGCCGCTCTAGGATGCTGCAGAAATAGTAATGCCCAGACCATGAGATTAGACCCCAAAATATTAACCAAAGCCTGCCGGTGAGGTACATAATTCAGGTTAACTCCAGAAACCGGAAGAAGCGGGATTGTTGAAACTTCCCCTCCACCCCATTTTCACCCTTATTACGTCTGTCTTCATTGCATCTGTCTTCATTGCATCTGTCTTCGTTGCATCTGTCTTCACTCATCGGGGACATGGCTGTCAACCGTCCCTTATTTGGCGGGACAGTCCCTTATCCAATCGCCGTGTCCCGCTGCTGTCCCTTATTGATGATGTCCCTTAAATTTCCCGGGTTTCAAAGGAAGCAGCTCCTCTCCCTCCCTCCTGGCCGGCCAGAGAGGAGGGAGGCTCCAGCTGTGTTGCTTGGCTGTGTTGCTCACCCAATAAGGAGTCTAAGAACGACTGGGGGGGTGGAGCTTGCATGCCTTGTGCTGATCAAATCGGCCGCATTGCCTGGGGACTCACCTTTGCTCAGCGCTTCCCAGCGGAGAGGTGACGGTGGTTTTCCTTGCTGCATCCCCTTTGCCGGGTTGCTGCGCTGTGGGAACCACCGCTTGAGGCTTCGTTTGGCTGCTGGTTGACTAAAATCCCTTATTTTGGCAGCTGATCCCTTATTTTCGAGGCTGCTGGTCAATTATTTTCAAATCTGTAAGTTGACAGCTATGATCGGGGAGCATCAGAGAGCTTCCAAGCTCACAGGAGCCGACAGCCGGCCAGAGGGAAAGGAACTTACTGTCGGTTTGCAGCCCTGATCGCTCAGTCGACCTCCCCTTTCCCCGTTTCGTCTCTTCCTCCAGGTACCACAACGGGACCCTCCTGGACCGCAAGGTGCACAGATACGACAGCAGCTTAGTGCTGAGGGACCTGCAGCCAAATCAGGCCGGCTCGTACCACTGCAAAGCCAGCAATGACCTCGGCTCCGTGAAGTCCTCCGTGGCCCAGCTGGCTGTGATAGGTGAGCTCAGATTCCTGCTCCGAGGCAAAACTCGGGCTGGGTGAGGTTCAGGCTCGATTCTTTGGAACCCGAACGTCCGACGGGCTTCCTGCAGCCAATCAGAAGCCACATTTTGGTTTCCGAACGTTTTGGAAGTCGAACGGACTTCCAGAACGGATTCCATTTGATTTCCGAGGTACCACTGTATACCGGTATATCGCGATGTTTAGGTAAAGGTAAGGGGCCCCTGATCATTAGGTCCAGTCGTGACCGACTCTGGGGTTGTGGTGCTCATCTCGCTTTATTGGCCGAGGGAGCCGGCGTACAGCTTCCGGGTCATGTGGCCAGCAGGACTAAGCCGCTTCTGGCAAACCAGAGCAGCACACGGAAACGCCGTTTACCTTCCTGCCAGAGCGGTACCTATTGATCTACTTGCACTTTGACGTGCTTTCGAACTGCTAGGTGGGCAGGAGCAGGGACTGAGCAACGGGAGCTCACCCCGTCATTGCGGGGATTCGAACCGCCGACCTTCTGATCGGCAAGTCCTAGGCTCTGTGGTTTAACCCACAACGCCACCCGTGTCCCTCGCAATGTTTAGCTGGTGATACAGTGGTACCTCGGGTTACATACGCTTCAGGTTACATACACTTCAGGTTACAGACTCCGCTAACCCAGAAATAGTGCTTCAGGTTAAGAACTTTGCTTTAGGAAATTGTGCTCTGGCAGTGCGGCAGCAGCAGGAGGCCCCATTAGCTAAAGTGGCGCTTCTGGTTAAGAACAGTTTCAGGTTAAGTACGGACCTCCGGAACAAATTAAATACTTAACCCGAGGTACCACTGTATATCACAAGCTTGAAAACCAGGTATCGCCCAGCCCTGTTCTTGAGCCACAGCACAGCTCAACCGGCTGCTAACAGATCTCTTGCTTTGGTCTTCTATCGTTTCAGACCCAGGCGTCCCAGCCTGCACTGCCGAGCCAGAAGAATACCTCATCAAACTCCCCGACGAGTGTTTCCAAGAGGAGACAGGCTCCCAGTTCTACAACGTCGGGCAGTGCCCCAATGCCCGCTGTGCCGGCAGCCTTGCTGACGGCCTGCAGTGCCAGGACGCCACACAGCACTGCTGCGGCACGCGCCGCATGGAAGTGCGGGAGATTCGCTGCATCGGGTACGTCCTCCCCATCAAGGTGGTTGCGGAGTGCGGCTGTAGCTCATGCACCCAGCCAAAGGTGCTGGTCCATGGCAAGGCTTCGGCGGCAGACGATGGCGAACCTCTGCGCTTTGGTGAGATCTACTTGGGGGCCGAGAAGATCGGCTTCACCGGTTACAAGGGCACCTTCACCATCGAGGTTCCACCGGACACGGAGAGGCTGGTGGTGAAGTTTGTGGACCGGACGCAGAAATTCGTTGAGGCCGTCAAGGTCTTCCCGTTTGACCAGCGCGGTGGAGCCGTCTACCAGGACGTCAAGCTGTTAAGGAGGAAGGAGCCGGTTGACTTGCAAGCCTTGGAGACCAACGTCATCCAGCTCGGAGAAGTGGCTGGAGAGGACCCCATTGGGGAGATTGTCATCCCCTCAGGATCTTTCTTCAGGCCCGACGGGCTACCCTACAATGGGACCGTACGGGCCAGCGTCACCTTCGTGGATCCACGGGACTTTGCCACGGTGAACGCCGCCTCCAGCGACTTGAATTTCATCAACGCCGAAGGCGACCTCTTCCCTCTCCGGACTTATGGCATGTTTTCCATGGACTTCTGGGAAGAGGGCAGTAACCAGGGATTAGAGGCCAGGAGCGTGGAGGTCAAGATGGACGCCGAGCTCATTAAGATGCCGGGGCACGTCCAGAAAATGAAGCTCTGGTCCCTCAACCCCGTGACAGGCCTGTGGGAAGAGGAGGCCTCCTTTAAGCGGGCCGCGGCAGGGCGCCGCAAACGCGAGGAGAGGGCCTTCCTGATTGGCAACCTGGAAATCCGTGAAAGGCGGCTGTTCAACCTGGATGTACCAGAGAATCGCCGCTGCTTCGTCAAGGTCCGAGCCTACATCAACGAAAAGCTCAACCCCAACGAACAGCTGGAGGGAGTGGTGGTTACCCTGGTGAACCTTGAGCCCCGGCCTGGCTTTCCGTCCAACCCTCAGGCCTGGGGCCGCTTTGACAGCGTGGTGACAGGTCGCAATGGTGCGTGCCTTCCTGCCTTCTGCGACGGCCAGCAGGCCGATGCCTACACTGCCTACGTCACTGCCACGATGGGTGGGGAGGAGCTGGAGGCCGTGGCTTCCAGCCCGAAGCTTGACCCTCGAGCCGTGGGCGTTTCTCAGCCGTACCTCAACAAGCTGGGCTACCGGCGATCCGACCACGACGACCCAGCCCTCAAGAAGACGGCCTTCAAGATCAACCTCGCCAAGCCCAACCAGAACAACATCGACGAGACTAACGGTCCCATCTACCCGTACCGGAGTCTGAGGGATTGCGACCAGGCGCCCGTCACAGCCAACCACTTCCGCTTCTACCGGGTGGAAGTGGACAAGTATGAGTACAATGTGGTGCCCTTCAAGGAGAGCGACTTGACATCGTGGACCGGGGATTACCTCTCCTGGTGGCCCAACCCTCAAGAGTTCCGGGCTTGCTACATCAAGGTGAAGATCAACGGGCCTCAACAATACATGGTCCGGTCTCGAAACGTGGGGGGCAGCCACCCCAGGACTCGGGGGCAACTTTACGGCCTGCGGGACTCTCAGAGCGTCCGGGACCTCGAGACGTATAACACATCAGCGGCGTGCGTCGAGTTCAAGTGCAGCGGAATGCTCTTTGACCAGGGACTTGTCGACAGGACTTTGGTGTCCGTCATCCCGCAGGGGAGCTGCCGTCGTACGGCGGTCAACAGCTACCTGAGGGAGTACCTCGGCCGCCACCCGCCCGTCGTGGAAAACAACGACACCTCGGCCTTCGCCATGCTGGCTCCTGTGGACCCTCTGGGGCACAACTATGGCATCTACACCGTGACCGACCAGAACCCGCGCCTGGCCAAGGAAATTGCCATCGGTCGCTGCTTTGATGGCACCTCGGACGGGTTCTCGCGGGAGATGAAATCTGAGCGGGGTACGGCGGTCACCTTCTTTTGCCAGGAACAGCCGGTGGGGCGTGAGAGCTTCTTCCAGCGCCTGCTTGAAGCCCCCGCCCAGACGCTGACGGAGATCCGGCGTGCGATGGGGGAAAACGAACAGCTGCGAGGAGCTTCTCAGGTGGTGGCGTACCCGGCAGGGTTGCGGACCGTGTTTGCGGCGCAGGCCCGTCGGACCCCCAGCCGCAGGAGGAGGGTGGGTGCTTCACAGACCGGACAGTGAGCAAGGAAGAGAACTGATGGGTCGTCTTCACATGAAACTGGCATGTTCCTCATCTCTCTCGCACTGAGTGAGGAGGTGTATCCACGAGGAAAGCTTTGTCCCGCCTCCCTCCAGATCGATGCCTCGAAACCAAGAAAGATAAACACAATCTCCTGGCCTCACGCCTGCCGTTAATCCCCAGTGTCAATTCCTTAATCCGCGCCCTGCTGTGGTCTTCCCCAAGGGTGTAGTGGTAAATTGTGAAGGGCAGGGGCTCATCCTGATAGCTCCCCATATCCCTGGTCCCAAGGAGAGTGCCATAGTCATGGATGCCCCCCAGGAATAGCCACACCCCCAAGGAGAGCCTCTAATCGCACACACGAGGAAAGCCACGCCCCCAAGGAAAGCCACACCCCATGGATAGAAAGCCACACCCCCAAGGAAGGTCCCAAAATATAGGCAGCAGTTTCAATTCATTACAGTGGTACCTCGGGTTAAGTACTTAATTCGTTCCGAAGGTCTGTTCTTAACCTGAAACTGTTCTTAACCTGAAGCACCATTTTAGCTAATGGGGCCTCCCGTTGCCGCCGCGCCGCCAGAGCACAATTTCTGTTCTTATCCTGAATCAAAGTTCTTAACCCGAGGGTATATTCTGGGTTAGCGGAGTCTGTAACCTGAAGCGTATGTAACCCGAGGTACCACTGTATTAACACACAGTGTACATATAGCACGATACATGGTTGTTTCAGATTGGCATAACTGCCACCCAATTCGTTGTTTCCTTCGACTAAATCGCCCCAGGCCTAATGGCGTTGACTTCCGGCTGCCGCAGTTCAGCTTTAGCCAGCTGAATGCCAGCCACATTGCAAAGAACCACCCCTACGTAAACCGCTAGCGTGAAGCAGGAACACCGTCAAAGAAAAGAGGAGACGTACCCAGCCTCTCCTCGATTGCTTTCCTCCTCCTCCGACTTCCCTCGCTGTTAACGTGTCGCAAACAAACTTGAAAGCCTTGTCGTTGCCTCATTCGCTTGCAGCGGAAGGGCAGTGTTGTGCTTTGGGGACATCAGATTTGGCCACCGGTGAGAGCAAGATACCGGACGAGATGGGTTTGTTCTGATGTTCTTAGGCTGACCGGTAATTTAAAAACTCGGAAACCCCTGGGGAGATCTATATAGTCTTGCGGCCACCCCCAACCCCTGTTTTTTTGATACAGAATCGTAGAATTGTATTGCTAGGAAGGGACCCCCGAGTCCAAACCCACAACAATTCAGGAATGGAAGTTGAGGCCAGCTCCTTCATGAGGACTAGATAATTGCTTGGAGTCAAGTCAAGGAATCGAATCCTGAGCAAGCCTCTCACACACCCCCACACCCCCAGAATTCATTCTGAAAAACCTGGATGTTATATAGACATATGTATACATATAAATAGGGACGCAGCTGGCGCTGTGGGTTAAACCACAGAGCCTAGGACTTGCCGATCAGAAGGTCGGCGGTTCGAATCCCCGCAATAACGGGGTGAGCTCCCGTTGCTCGGTCCCTGCTCCTGCCTACCTAGCAGTTCGAAAGCACGTCAAAGTGCAAGTAGATCAATAGGTACCGCTCCAGCGGGAAGGTAAACGGCGTTTCCGTGCGCTGCTCTGGTTCGCCAGAAGCGGCTTAGTCCTGCTGCCCACACGACCCGGAAGCTGTACGCCGGCTCCCTCGGCCAATAAAGCGAGATGAGCGCCGCAACCCCAGAGTCGGCCACGACTGGACCTAATGGTCAGGGGTCCCTTTACCTTTACACATATAAATATCTAATAAGCCAATGAATAGAAAAAAGGGGGTTCTTTTTGGAGTCCTGTTTCCGTGCTGCCAGAGGACGTGCTTCTCTTCAAATGACGATTCCCTGACTCCCAACCCCCTGGGAACTGGGATCCCAGCAATATTTAAAAACGAATGTCTCTTCTAGATACAGGGGTACCTCGGTTTTCGGACGCCGGCAAACGTTTCAGAACCCGGACACCGAAAACCTTCCGTTTTCGGACGCGCCTCGGAAGTCGGAACGGCGTGTTTTTCCATTTCCTCAATCAATTTTGCAGACCGCCCTTTGCGCCTCGGGTTTCCGGACTTTCCGGAACTCGAACGGTCTTCTGGAACGGACGACGTTCGAGAACCGAGGTACCGCTGTATAGGCATTCCTCTTTTCCTGTGAGTGGTCACAGGTGAGGGCCTATGGACCTATGGGCCAAACTTGCCCCAGCACAAGCCCCCGTTTGACCGTCTTCCCTCGCACCCGACGCCATCTGAGAGCTCTCTTGAGCTCCACACCTCCAAAGGCAAAACACACAGGGTTAGGCAATCATTCACAAACTGCCCCACCTGTAGATTGTTGGATATCCTAATTTTTTTAAAAAATAAATTTTATTAGAGCATAAAAAAAGAATACAGAGCTTTATTACCAAATATATCCCCCCCCCAAAAAAAAACAATATTAAATATTTTATCGAAAGAAGAAGAAGAGGAGAGAAAGAGTATGGAAGAGAAAAGGAATTACCGTATTTTTTGCTCTTTAAGACTCACTTTTTCCCTCCTAAAAGTAAGGGGAAATGTGTGTGTGCGTCTTATGGAGCGAATGCAGGCTGCGCAGCTATCCCAGAAGCCAGAACAGCAAGAGGGATTGCTGCTTTCGCTGCACAGCGATCCCTCTTGCTGTTCTGGCTTCTGAGATTCAGAATATTTTTTTTCTTGTTTTCCTCTTCCAAAAACTAGGTGCGTCTTGTGGTCTGGTGCGTCTTTCAGAGCGAAAAATACGGTAAGTTAAAGAGTAAATATATTTTAATTTAAGGTTATCTGTACAGCGGTACCTCCGGTTGCAAAGGGGATCCATTCCGGAGGCCCATTCGCAACATGAGCAGAACGCAACCCGTGATTCGCCGCTTCTGCGTATGCGCGTGATGTCATTTTTCACGTCTGCGCATGCGCGAGTGTCGAAACCCGGAAGTAACCCTTTCCGTCACTTCCGGGTCGCCGCAGGACGTATCCTGAAAGAACGTAACATAATCGTTGAGGGTTGCGGGAAGGATGGGAGAAGTAGAGGGGTCGGGGCTGTTGACCCGATATGCGCCAGGGTTCCCCTTGGGATCTTATGAGAAGCTATTCCCATTATGAGTGTTTCCCCCCACGAGACGCCCCTCTTTCGCCGTGGGTCACATAAACAGCAACTTTATATATATATATGTAAAGGAGATGCGTTATTTATTGCCAAAATATATGACTGTGTTTTCACCAGCGACGTGGTCTTGCGTCTGATTTCACTTCCGCACAGCCCACCAGGGCCGGATTTAGGTTTGATGAGGCCCTCAGCTCCTGAAGGTCATGGGGCCCTTTCTATGTCCAGCTGTCCTTTGTCAACAACAAATGGCCGCTGTTTTTGGTGTTGAATATATGCTATATGGTAACATACAGACCTAATAGGTTTCTAAAGCCATTTAGGGGCGGGGTGGCGCTGTGGTCTAAACCACGGAGCCTCTTGGGCTTGCCGATCAGAAGGTCAGCGGTTCGAATCCCCGCAACGGGGCGAGCTCCCGTCGCTCTGTCCCAGCTCCTGCCAACCTAGCAGTTCAAAAGCACACCAGTGTAAGTAGATAAATAGGTACCACTGCGGTGGGAAAGTAAACGGCGTTTCTGTGTGCTCTGGCTCATGTCTCAAGGGTCTGGGAGAGAAAGATACTTTAGAGTCTGCCTGCATCCAGATGTTTCAGGTATGTGCGTTGGCCCAGGGCTCCCGTTCCCTCCTACGCCGGGTCTTTATGTACGGAGATTTGTGTTCTCAGCAAAAACGAGACATTAAAGTATACGAGCGGCAAGGCCTTGCCAAAGGGAAGGGGTGGAAATTATTGATGTCCGCCTGTCTCCCGGCCAGAGGACCACAAACCTCCTGAGCCTCGCGAGACGCAACAGAGCAGCCAGCTGCTCGTGCCAAGCGTTGAAACGTTATATATGACGGGTGAAGGGACAGAGCCTTTTTTGCAAAGCCCAGCACGTCTCCGGCGAGCCAGGATCCGTTCCCAAACATTCTTGGAATGCACAACTGCAACATCAAACGCTCCGGGAAAAGCAGACCTGGTTTTCAAAACGTCCAGTTGGCGAGTTTGCCGGAGAGGCAATCGGAGGATGAGGAAAACATTTCGCGCCCCGGTTTTGAGGACACGGCTCAGAGGGGTCCTCGTTCAGGAAGGCCGTAGCTTAGCGGGCGAACGCCTGAATGTCCCTGGTCCGATCCTGAACGCCATTTCCAGGTAGGGATGGGAATATTCCGCTGACTGAAACCCTCCGTCAGTCAGGGTGGACGACACTCTGAACTAGATATACCAATATTTGTAGAATTCAGCTTGCTGTTTCAATCACCTCTCTATTCGCACCCTAGAAACTTGCTTTTGTTTTCGGAGGAAAGGAATATCGCTTTTCCTGCTGGAAGTTCCAGGTTCTTGTTGTCATTATAAAAATGAGGCATTTGTGTGCGGACGTCCAACGAGGGAGCAATAGACCAAAAAGTAGCAGATCGAGAAGCAAATACTCAAATATTCGGGTGCAAAAAGCAGTGTAGACAGTACGCAAATGAATACAAGAGGGACGGTGCAGATATGAATAAAAATTCAAACGTTCTGCGTTCACCAAACATGGAGCCGTTACTGGGATCCCAGAAGCCAGATTAGAATCAGCAAGGCTTTTCTTTTTGCCCTTCAGTAAGGTAGGGACGCCAGTGGCGCTGTGGGTTAAACCACTGAGCCTAGGGCTTGCTGATCAGAAGGTTGGCGGTTCGAATCCCCATGACGGGGTGAGCTCCCGTTGCTCGGTCCCTGCTCCTGCCAACCTAGCAGTTCGAAAGCACCTCAAAGTGCAAGTAGATAAATAGGTACCGCTCCGGCGGGAAGGTAAACGGCGTTTCCGTGCGCTGCTCTGGTTCGCCAGAAGCGGCTTAGTCCTGCTGGCCACATGACCCGGAAGCTGCACGCCGGCTTCCTCGGCCAGTAAAGCGAGATGAGCGCTGCAATCCCAGAGTCGGGGACCTAATGGTCAGGGGTCTCTTTACCTTTAATACAGTGGTGCCTTGGTTCCCGAACGGCTTAGCTGTCAAACAAAACGGTCCAGAATGCCGCAAACCTGGAAGTAAGTGTTCTGGATTGCAAATGTTTTTCAGAAGCTGAACGTCCGAGGCGGCTTCCGATTGAGCGCAGGCAGTTGATGGGAAGCCGCGCCTTGGTTTTCGAACAGTTCCGGGCGTCGAACGGACTCCTGGAAATTAAGTCCGAGAACCAAGGTGTGTGCAAAAACGCACACATTATAAGGCGATGCTTGTGCAAATAGTGCTCAGGCGTGCAAAAGTAATACATCAAGGTGCATTATACGACGGGGAAGGGCTTGCGGAAAATGTTGGGTAGGAACGCCTAGCGAAACGTGCGCAGGAGGGGAGAAATTTGCGGCAAACCGCCGGCGATCTTCAGTGGGGACGTTTCGTCTCTGCGGCACGACGGATTGAGGCAAAAAA